CAATTCAACATTATACACAATTATAATATAAAAATTAATATAATTTAACAACTTAATATAAACAAATTTAACAACATAATTTCAATATACTTTAACTCATTCATATTTTAAAAAAAAAAACGAAGAAAATACCTTCCAAATTGTTATCCACCGAGCGCTAGTCACACACAATATCCCTATACACAACGAATTTTACGGTGTTAGTATGAATTGACATTGATAATTTTAAATGAAAATAACAAAAACACTTACCAAACACAATGAAATAATTCGATCAACCTAGAGATTTAGATGGATGAAGATTAGAGGAAGAAATTGAGAGAAAATGGGACTGACGGAACCCAAAATGAAGATCATCGAAAGGAAAAATTGCAGGGGGAGAAATCTGCAGAAAACTGCAGTTTTCTCCCTCTGCAACTAACATCAAGTTATAAAGACTACTTTTGGAAGAACCACTTTGTGCGATGAACATAGAATTTGTAGCGCAAGTTCCCTTCACGCGCTCAAGTGTCTTTTTTTTCTTTCCAAAATTCTCTTTTACATCTTCTTTATAATTTAATAATGTAATCTATTTGCACGATGAACACTATATTCATCGCGCAAGTTACATTATTTATTTATTTAATTTTTTTTCTTTTGTTTTCTTTCTTACTAATGTAAATTTTTTTTATCCAATTAAAATTATCAAACCAAATTATATATTGCCAAAATATTTATTAAAACTATGTTATTAACTAAAATATATATTATAACTAATGTAAACTTTAAGCCTTCCATGCATGTAACATAAAATTTAAAAATAAACTCCAACATAACATTCAAATAAATTTTATTTCATAAATAAAAAAAATCAAATTTGGTTCACTCTTCCTCTGCGTCATCAGGAGGGGCATTGACAACAGCATTGTCAACTTGTGCGCGCTTTGCAGCCCACTGTACATCAAACTTCCACTGCAGGAACTGCTTCTTGAAAAAGTCATCCACATACTTCTGCTGCTTCTCATCGGTTTCATCAACATCCCAAACAACCTGTAATGGCAATAAAATTAAATCAAATATCGCAAAAATATTATTTGTAAACAAAAGCAATTACACATTCTTTAATATAAACTTACCGATAAATGCTGCACCATGAGTTCTTAATGTCTACAGACATCATTTTCCAAGAGTTAAACTCAATAGAACACTTCTACCGCACCAAACCCCCTATATTGCAAATAAGTTTGACGTACGCTTCAACCAAACTTTTGTTAGCAAATGAGGTTAAATGTTTACGTCGGTACCTCTCTAATGTCACCACAGCGTTCTTTATTTTTTTTTCCTACCACAAAAATTTAAAACGTAATAGCCTATTAAAACAATAATTTCAACCATATCAAATGTAAAACAATTAACTCAACAATAATTTTTATTTTTTTTTTTTATTTTAACCTTTCCCTTCACAAGAGCCTTCTCCCTCCCAACATTTTGTTGACTCTGAAACTGAATCGGCCATCGTTTGATATAAAATCTTTGCAAAATAGGGTTCTGAAACTATGTTTATATAAAATTGGACACACTTTGCACGACGAATCCTTGGTCGCGCAAGGTTGTCATAACTGGCCGCTGTAAATGGGAGCATTTAATGCGTGACTGACCGTTTGCACGACAAACAATAGTAGTCGTCGCACTAAGTGGTCTTGCATGATGAAAGCCTTATTTCGCAAAGTCGTCTTGTGCGATGATTACTACTGTTCGTCGCGCAAACATCAAAAGAAAAATAAATAAATAAACCCTTTGCGCAAAATAATTTAAACCTTAAATAATTACAAACAAATTTTCAGTTATAATATTTATTCTACAAATAATTAAAACCTTAAATAAATTGAATTAATCCATTCCATTATTTAAAAACTTAAACAAAAATTAAAACCTAATTAAGTCCAAATACATAACTTATATAAAAAAAACCTTAAATTTAAATATTGTCCTGAATAACATAAATTTAAAACTACTATTTCAATGGTGCTCTATTCTGCTCAACGTCATAACGCCACCGGTTGTAACCTCCCTCCAATGCTACCTCCATCAACTTCATCAACTCTTCGTTCGTATTATCATCATCAAGAGTATACTTATACTGTTCAACATATATGCAAATAATTAATTCCAACATATAACAAAAAAATTCACAAAATTAATTATTGATCCATCAATAGTATACTCACTAATTCATCCATCACCACCTTCTTGACATTCTTAGGCACATATTTCCAAGAACACCACTCAACAGTAGGACCACGAACAAAATTGTGAAGAATAAGGAAAGCAAAAGCGCATATTTATAGGAATGTCAGGGACTTTGCGCGACAAAGGCTTTGTCGGGCAAACATCTGCACTAAATACAGTATTGATTCCTCTAATTCACATGCACTAAATTGTTGGAGGAAAACTAACAGTGACTTGCGCGACAAAGAATTCGTCGCGCAAAGCTTCACCCTTTGTTGGGCATGTTTTTCGTGCCAAAAAATTTACACACATTTTTTCTTACTGACTTTGCACAATGAGTATATTATTTTCGTCGCGCAAAGTTGTTTTGCGCAACAAAGTTATGTGTCGCACAAAGTTGACCTTTCTTGTGCGACTAATATCTTCTTCTATCGTACAAAACTATCTTGCGCGACGATTTTTTCGTTGTCGCGTAAGTAGTTTTTCCTACTAGTGTAATGGATCGCCCAAACTCACTGAAGTTCTAGACTTAGGCTTGGATAAGTCATTAAAGTCCATGCAATTGATTCGTATGGAAGGGTGCATGTGTCTCACTTCTAGGAAGAACATCCTATAGGTCTCTCTCTCTCTCTCTCTCTCTCTCTCTCTATGTTACACACACAAACACACATTCAAGTGTATATGACACTAGTTACAATGTTGTATTGAGGTGGACTTCTTGTGGGTTTGGTGGCATTTTTTTAGTGGAAAATATGTTCTTGAATGGTTTGACTTTGTTGAAGAGGGTGATGTAGTCCATTTTGATGTTCCTTGAAGTTTTGGTCGTAATTTTGATGAGTTGGCCGTGTTCTACATTTACTCAACATTTGACGATGATTGGTGTCCTCTTGGCATTACTGTTAAAAATATTACCAAATGTAGTGTGTTGCGAGCCTCGTTAACAAATATATATCAAACCAAGATGCCTCGATGACGAGTATCGTCCTAAATACAATGACGGTAATTATCATCATAAAGACGAAGAATTTGGCAGGGACAGTTATCAAACGATAAACTCAATTTGTAGGGAGGGGACAAGGTTGGTGTACAGTACTTTTAAGTTTGGTCGGTCAAAACTGCAGATGATTATTCTGTGAGAGTGAAGAAAACAGGGGTTAATATAATATGGGACAAACTTATCAAGGAAAATGTGGTTATTAATGACCCTTTTATTTATGGTTCTGAGTGATATCCAGACTGCTTGTCGAGTGGTGATAATGATGCAGAAGCAAGCAATGACGCATCTGATCATCTCAGTAATGAATTGATTAGTACTACAGATGATGAAGATGAACAATTAGCAGTGCTGCATCATGATCAACCCAGGCCACCGCGGTTAGCATCATCATCAGCGCTTTTAGTTTTCGTTTCCCTACAAGCAAAGAAACCCGCTCTCTGCTGCAGGTTTAAAACCGTAACCACAATTTAACACACCCATTTTAAGTAGGGAACTTTAACGAAAAACATCCGGTACTGTTCACTTTAACGAAAAACCACATTTTTACACTAAAAAGTCAATCCTTGTACTATTCACTTTACCCTTTATTTTGTCCTTATCATTAAAACTCAAAGTTTTCAAACCCTTTTCATTAGTTTTCCTTTTTAAATAATGGGACTAATTAACCTTTCCAACAATGATTAGCAACTAAAATTGATCTACAAATTAATAAAAAGAAAAGACCAAGTAAAAAACTGAACACTATTAGCAGATTCATGTGTACATAATGGCAGGTCCATAAATTTTATAGAAAACTTCATTTTAATCCCTAAAAAAGATGAGTTTTAGATTATAACCATATGTAAGATTAAAATCCAATTTTAGTCCCTAGCACTTTTAATCATATCATTTATTAGTTGTATTTTGATGTTTTATTTTATCTTTTTATTTTTATTTTAATGTATTAATTACATTTAAATTTAATTTTTATTTCATTCATCATAATATATTTTATTGTCTACATTTAGGCAACTAAATTTTTTATAATATATATTCCGATAACAATTTTGTATGTTCTTCATTTAGGTACATTAATACATTTGAATATTTTGGTATATCTATCGGTACAAACATGTAGTTACATTGATTCAATATAATGCATTTTGATCAATATAATGCATTTCGTTACGCACACTTTGATACACACATTTGAGTATTGACTTTTAGGTACATTAATTCAATTATTATTTCGGTAAATACATTTAGGTACATACATTTTGGTATTGATATTTAGGTACATACATTTTCGGTATTGATATTTAGGTTCGTACATTTTGGTACATACATTTCGGTATTAACATTTAGGTACATTAATTCAATATAATACATTTTAGTACATACATTTAGGTTCATTATAATATATTTCGGTACAATCATGTAGGTACAAATATTTTGGTACAAAAAAGTCAACTTTATATATTTTGGCACAATCATTTCTGTACACTTATGTATCTATATATTTTTGTATCACAAATTTTTTTTAATATTTTCTCATTTACGTTCATTTCTAATTAAAAAAATTAAATATGTGCATATTAATAAAATTAAAATTTAATATGGAGAGATTAAATAAAAATACACATTAAATAAGAAAAATTGAATGTAAATTTTGATAAAAATACACTCAAGGGATTAAATTGAATATTTAATCTAGCATCAGGTTTTTTTTAAATTTTAATCTTTTGTAAGGACTAATGTTCAAAAACCCCTAAATTTTATCATGAGTTCAGGTGTAAACAACTTGATTGTGCTCATGTAAAAAAAATTTAACTCGTTATAATTATTTATTCATGTAATAAATGAGTCGATAGATCCATAAACAATATGGAAACCAAATACACATTGAACACTCTATACCTCCCATGTACAAACAAATTATAGGGGTCATAATGTAGAACAGAAGTATACCTCCTGCAGCAAGCTTAAGCTTCGCCTCCAGTGGAGCAACGATGGATTCAATGGGTAGCATTTCATCATCTTTCTGTGTAGCGTGAACTCTTCAAAGTCTGCCTTCTGCTGCAATATCTTAATATAAAACAAAACCCCCATAATCAGATTAATTAGGGTTTTTTCTTCATAGTTTCATGTACTTCAAAAGATATATGATATAAATTATACTTGAGTATTGTCATTGTGTATAAAAAACTAAACGGATATATCACATTCAAATTTAAGTATGCTGATTACCAAAATACTTTAAACGGTTCTTCAAATTATCATTGTCATATACCATGACTATGCTGACATATCACTCTTTCTCCAAAAATACCTGCAGAAATTTCAAAGAACCTTCAAAAGAAGTTGTTTCAGAACAGGTTTCATCCCAACCAACAACAACAACAACAACAACAACAAAGCCTTTTCCCACTAAGTGGGGTCGGCTATATGAATCCTAGAACGCCATTGCGCTCGGTTTTGTGTCATGTCCTCCGTTAGATCCAAGTACTCAAGTCTTTTCTTAGGGTCTCTTCCAAAGTTTTCCTATGTCTTCCTCTACCCCTTCGGCCCTGAACCTCTGTCCCGTAGTCACTTTCGAACCGGAGCGTCAGTAGGCCTTCTTTGCACATGTCCAAACCACCGGAACCGATTTTCTCTCATATTTCCTTCAATTTTGGCTACTCCTACTTTACCTCGGATAACCTCATTCCCAATCTTATCCTTTCTCGTGTGCCCATACATCCCACGAAGCATCCTCATCTCCGCTACACCCCATTTTGTGTACGTTGATGCTTCACTGCCCCCAACATTCTGTGCCATACAATATCGCTGGCCTTATTGCCGTCCTATAAAATTTTCCCTTGAACTTCAGTGGCCTACGACGGTCACACAACACGCCGGATGCACTCTTACACTTCATCCATCCAGCTTGTATTCTATGGTTGAGATCTCCATCTAATTCTCCGTTCTCTTGCAAGATAGATCCTAGGTAGCGAAAACGGTCACTTTTTGTGATCTTCGCTAGATTGCTCCGGTCATTAGTGTGGATAAGTATATAAATGGATAGAGATAGGAAAGCAAACACAAGATGTACGTGGTTCACCCAGATTGGCTACGTCCACGGAATAGAGGAGTTCTCATTAATTGTGAAGGGTTTACACAAAAGCAAACACAAGATGTACGTGGTTCACCCAGATTGGCTACGTCCACGGAATAGAGGAGTTCTCATTAATTGTGAAGGGTTTACACAAGTACATAGGTTCAAGCTCTCCTTTAGTGAGTACAAGTGAATGATTTAGTACAAATGACATTAGGAAATATTGTGGGAGAATGATCTCGTAGCCACGAAACTTCTAAGTACCGGAGTGTGGTATCGTCTTGACTTGCCTTATCTGTCTCATAGGTAGATGTGGCATCTTCTCTGGAAGTACTCTTCCTCCATCCAGGGGTGGTATCTGTAACTGGTGGAGATGCACAAGGTAATGTATCAATTTCACTTGAAGCTTACTTGTAGTTTCATGGCTTGGTCAAGCGCGATACAAACCATGTAGTAGGAGTCCCCCAAGTCGCCGAGCTAGGGGATCTGCTGAAAGAGGTGACAGACAAGGTAAGCAATCAGAGCTCCGGCTGATTGTTCACATTCTCCCTATCTTGCAGTCAGCATGAAGGATAAAGAGAAGAAAAATGAGGAGAGATGATATGGAATACTTTTGCTTTTGAAGAAGTAACTTTCCACAGGCTTATTCTTGAACTGGGCTGGAGGGTTTTCTGGTTTCCTCCAGAGTATAAGGCCGACTGAAGAATTTGAGGGTCAAAACAAGTCCATCAAATCTAGAGTACGTTCGACCCTGCTGATATGGGATACTTTTGCTTTTGACAAAGTAGTGGATGTATCGGCACGTGTGCTGTTACGCTTGTCTCCACATGCTTCCTTGTATCCTTCTCACTTGCCCTATTTGTTCCTCAGGCAGATGCGGTATCTTCCCTGGAAGCATAAGATGTTGAAGATGAGTACTCGAGAGCAATGCCAGGTAAGTAATCAGGTAAGAGGGTTCCAGGCAGTCAGTTCCTGGCTGGAAGCTTGATTCCAAGTGCTGACTGATTGCTCTCTTTCTCCTTGTCTTGCAGGTAAGAACAAGGCCAAAGGAAAAGACAGGGAAAAAGCATGATATGGGATACTCTTGCTTTTAACCCTGATGATATGAGATATTCTTGCTCTAGTATAGCTTGTTTACAGAGGTATTATCGGGGGGAAAGAAAGCTGAATATTTCGAAAGGCTTCGTTGGGAGTGCCCTCTCAGATAAGAGAAAGGGTTGAGCATTTTTGCAGGTCTGCCTGTCCGTTAGGGATGGAGGTCGACATATATAGGAGTCTCCCTAACATCAAGTAATAATGCTATTCCTTTACCCTGCTTGGTCATAGCACGGTAGTGGGAGCTGCCAGCTTCACATGTTTTAACTCTGTCAGAGCACTTTGAAAAAGTGGTCTGTGGTATCTGGAAAGCTGATGTTGCGTGTGAAGATTACAGACAAGCTTTATCCAAGGAGATCCAGCTCTTGAAGTTGGGAAAGTGGTGCCTCTTCGATTTTCGAACAAGCAATCCTGTCGGGGATCTGGCTCTCGAGATTCGGAGAACGATGCCTCTTCGATTTTTGAGAAAGCAATCCTGCTGGGGGTCTGGCTCTCGAGATTCGGAGAGCGGTGTCTCTTCGATTTTTGAGAAAGTAATCATGTTGGGAGTCTGGCTCTCGAGATTCGGAGGGCGGTGCCTCTTCGATTTTGGAGCAAGCAATCTTGTTGGGAGTGTTTTCTCGAATGTGAGTAAAGGTTGGGCACGTGTTTGCTAGTCTACCTTGCCACGAAGCACAGAGGTTGACACACAGGAACTTTCCAATTATCCAGCAGTGGTACTGTTCCTTTACCCTCTCTTCGATTTTTGAGAAAGTAATCATGTTGGGAGTCTGGCTCTCGAGATTCGGAGGGCGGTGCCTCTTCGATTTTGGAGCAAGCAATCTTGTTGGGAGTGTTTTCTCGAATGTGAGTAAAGGTTGGGCATGTTTGCTAGTCTACCTTGCCACGAAGCACAAAGGTTGACACACATGGACTTTCCAATTATCCAGCAGTGGTACTGTTCCTTTACCCTCTCTTCGATTTTGAGAAAGTAATCATGTTGGGAGTCTGGCTCTCGAGATTCGGAGGGCGGTGCCTCTTCGATTTTGGAGCAAGCAATCTTGTTGGGAGTGTTTTCTCGAATGTGAGTAAAGGTTGGGCATGTTTGCTAGTCTACCTTGCCACGAAGCACAGAGGTTGACACACCGGGACTTTCCAATTATCCAGCAGTGGTACTGTTCCTTTACCCTTGTGGGTAATAATATGGTAGCTAGACCTTCAAAATTTATGTGTTTAAACTTTGTTAGTGTTGTTTCTTTTGCAATTCTTTTTACCCTTCTTGGTCAGAGCGATGTAGTGGGAGCTGCAAGCTTCACGTGTCTCAACTTTGTCAGAGAACTTTGGCAAAGTTATCTGTGGTACCCATGAGCTACTGTTGCGTGTGGGAAGTGGGTGATTGAACAGTACGATTCATGTGCTTTCTACTTCGTCAGAAATCTTCGACAGAATGCCCATAATTTCCGCAAAACCTGAGTGTGCGTGTGACAGGTGCTGACAAGGCTGGAAAAGTAGGTGCCTCTTCGATTTCTGAGATCGGCCCTCGTGGTCTCTGAGCAGCCCAGCTTTTGAGAAAGCAAGCCTCTTCGATTTCTGAGATCGGCCTTCGTGGTCTTTGAGCAGCCCAGCTTTTGAGAAAGCAAACGCCTCTTCGATTTCTGAGATCGACCCTCGTGGTCTCTGAGCAGCCCAGCTTTTGAGAAAGCAAACGCCTCTTCGATTTCTGAGCAGGCGCCTCTTCGATTTCTGAAGCTTCGTCGAGTGCAGATTTTTATAGGGGCTGACATTAAGTTCCAAAGCACACTTGAATATCCACCAGTAGAAGCTCCATTCTTGCACTTCTAAGATCTTGATTTGTCCGACCTCTTCTCTCTTCAACACCTTTGAAAATGTCTGGCCCCTCCGACCGTCGTTTTGACTTGAACCTTGTTGAAGAGGCAGCCCCGCCTTCTCCAGACAACATATGGCGCCCATCCTTCGTCTCCCCTACTGGTCCTCTTACCGTTGGGGATTCCGTGATGAAGAATGATATGACCGCTGCGGTAGGTGGCCAGGAACCTTCTCACTCCCAAAGATAACAGACTACTTTCCAAACGGTCTGATGAGTTGGCTGTTAAGGATTCTCTGGCTCTCAGTGTTCAGTGTGCAGGTTCTGTGTCTAATATGGCCCAACGCCTATTTGCTCGAACCCGCCAAGTTGAATCATTGGCGGCTGAAGTGATGAGTCTCAAACAGGAGATTAGAGGGCTCAAGCATGAGAATAAACAGTTGCACCGGCTCGCACATGACTATGCTACAAACATGAAGAGGAAGCTTGACCAGATGAAGGAATCTGATGGTCAGGTTTTACTTGATCATCAGAGATTTGTGGGTTTGTTCCAAAAGGCATTTATTGCCTTCGTCTTCTGGGGCTGTACCGCGTAATGAAGCTCCAAATGATCAACCTCTGATGCCTCCTCCTTCTAGGGTTTTGTCCAGTACTGAGGCTCCGAATGATCCCCTCCGGTGCCTTCTCTTTCTGGGGCTCTACCGACTGCTGAGACTTCTCCTAAGCAACCTTTGTGAAGGCTCCCTCTTGTTTGTTTATTTTGACTCAAGTATATGTACATATTTGTAACTTATCGGGGATATCAATAAATAAGCTTTCCTTCATTTCAACGTATTGTGTTAAATACACCAAAGCCTTCTTCGCTAAGTTCTTTGAATTTTCTTTTGTTGAAGCTTGTATGTTGAAGCTTTGTGAGTGGAGCATGTAGGTTGAGGTAGTGTTCCCTTAATTTCCCGAGTGAGGAAAACTTCTCGGTTGGAGACTTGGAAAAATCCAAGTCACTGAGTGGGATCGGCTATATGAATCTTAGAACGCCATTGTGTTCTGTCCTGTGTCATGTCCTCCGTTAGATCCAAGTACTCTAAGTCTTTTCTTAGGGTCTCTTCCAAAGTTTTCCTAGGTCTTCCTCTACCCTTTCGGCCCTGAACCTCTGTCCCATAGTCGCATCTTCTAATCGGAGCGTCAGTAGGCCTTCTTTGCACATGTCCAAACCACCGTAACCGATTTTCTCTCATCTTTCCTTCAATTTCGGCTACTCCTACTTTACCCCGGATATCCTCATTCCTAATCTTATCCTTTCTCGTGTGCCCACACATCCAACGAAGCATCCTCATCTCCGCTACACCCCCATTTTGTGTACGTGTTGATGCTTCACCGCCCAACATTCTGTGCCATACAGCATCGCCGGCCTTATTGCCGTCCTATAAAATTTTCCCTTGAGCTTCAGTGGCATACGGCGGTCACACAACACGCCGGATGCACTCTTCCACTTCATCCATCCAGCTTGTATTCTATGGTTGAGATCTCCATCTAATTCTCCGTTCTTTTGCAAGATAGATCCTAGGTAACGAAAACGGTCGCGCTCTTTGGTATTTCTTGATCTCCGATCCTCACCCCTAACTCGTTTTGGCCTCCATTTGCACTGAACTTGCACTCCATATATTCTGTCTTTGATCGGCTTAGGCGAAGACCTTTAGATTCCAACACTTCTCTCCAAAGGTTAAGCTTTGCATTTACCCCTTCCTGAGTTTCATCTATCAACACTATATCGTCTGCGAAAAGCATACACCAAGGAATATCACCTTGAATATGTCCTGTTAACTCATCCATTACCAACGCAAAAAGGTAAGGACTTAAGGATGAGCCTTGATGTAATCCTACAGTTATGGGAAAGCTTTCGGTTTGTCCTTCATGAGTTCTTACGGCAGTCTTTGCTCCTTCATACATATCCTGTATAGCTTGGATATATGCTACTCGTACTCCTTTCTTCTCTAAAATCCTCCAAAGAATGTCTCTTGGGACCCTATCATACGCTTTTTCCAAATCTATAAAGACCATGTGTAAATCCTTTTTCCCATCTCTATATCTTTCCATCAATCTTCGTAAGAGATAGATTGCCTCCATGGTTGAGCGCCCTGGCATGAACCCGAATTGGTTGTCCGAAACCCGTGTCTCTTGCCTCAATCTATGCTCAATGACTCTCTCCCAGAGCTTCATTGTATGACTCATTAGCTTAATACCCCTATAGTTCATGCAATTTTGTACATCGCCCTTATTCTTGTAGATAGGCACCAAAGTGCTCATTCGCCACTCATTTGGCATCTTCTTCGTTTTCAAAATCCTATTGAAAAGGTTAGTGAGCCATGTTATACCTGTCTCTCCCAAAACTTTCCACACTTCGATTGGTATATCGTCTGGGCCTACTGCTTTTCTATGCTTCATCTTCTTCAAAGCTACACCCACTTCTTCCTTCCGGATTCTACGATAAAAAGAGTAGTTTCTACACTCTTCTGAGTTACTCAACTCCCCTAAAGAAGCACTCATTTCATGTCCTTCATTGAAAAGATTATGAAAATAACCTTTCCATCTGTCTTTAACCGCGTTCTCTGTAGCAAGAACCTTTCCATCCTCATCCTTGATGCACCTCACTTGGTTTAGGTCCCTTGTCTTCTTGTTCCCTTGCTCTAGCTAGTTTATAGATATCCAACTCTCCTTCTTTGGTATCTAGTCGCTTATACATATCGTCATAAGCCGCTAACTTAGCTTCTCTCACAGCTTTCTTCGCCTCTTGCTTCGCTTTTCTATACCTTTCACCATTTTCATCGGTCCTATCCTTGTATAAGGCTTTACAACATTCCTTCTTAGCCTTCACCTTTGCTTGTACCTCCTTATTCCACCACCAAGATTCCTTTTGGTGTGGGGCAAAGCCCTTGGACTCTTCTAATACCTCTTTTGCTACTTTTCGGATACAACTAGCCATGCAATCCCACATTTGGTTAGCTTCCCCCTCTCTATCCCACACACACTGGGTGATTACTTTCTCTTTGAAAATGGCTTGTTTTTCTTCTTTTAGATTCCACCATCTAGTCCTTGGGCACTTCCAAGTCTTGTTCTTTTTTCTCACTCTTTTGATATGTACATCCATCACCAACAAGCGATGTTGATTAGCCACGCTCTCTCCTGGTATAACTTTGCAATCCTTACAAGTTATACGATCCCCTTTCCTCATTAGAAGAAAATCTATTTGTGTTTTTGACGACCCACTCTTGTAGGTGATCACATGTTCTTCTCTCTTCTTAAAGAAGGTGTTGGCTAAGAAGAGATCATATGCCATTGCAAAATCCAAGATAGCTTCCCCATCCTCGTTTCTCTCCCCAAAACCATGGCCACCATGAAAACCTCCATAGTTGCCTGTCTCCCTGCCCACGTGTCCATTTAAATCTCCTCCTATAAATAACTTCTCTGTCTGAACAATTCCTTGCACCAAGTCTCCAAGGTCTTCCCAAAATTTCTCCTTCGAACTCGTATCCAACCCTACTTGAGGTGCGTACGCACTAATCACATTGATAAGTTCTTGTCCTATTACAATCTTGATTGCCATGATTCTATCTCCTACCCTCTTGACATCTACAACATCTTGTGTCAAGGTCTTGTCCACGATGATGCCAACACCGTTTCTCGTTCTATTTGTGCCCGAATACCATAGTTTAAACCCTGAGTTTTCTAGATCCTTTGCCTTACGACCAACCCACTTAGTTTCTTGTAGGCACATAATATTTATCCTTCTCCTCACCATAACTTCTACTACTTCCATAGATTTTCCCGTCAAGGTTCCTATATTCCACGTTCCTAAACGCATTTTGCTCTCTTGAACTCTACCCTTCTGTCCTAGCTTCTTCACCCTTCCCCGTCTAATAGGATCAAAGTACTTCTTTTGTGTCCCGTGTAAAGTTGATAGGAGCATATGCTCCAAAACAACTTTGAGTGGAGTCGTTCGAAAAGAAGTTTCTATAGCCCCCTTGCTCATTTAACACTGCATCCGGGTGCCGATGGAGATACAGCGACCCTTGCTCACTTATCACTGTGCTCAGGCCACACAGCGCGCCACTTATGGGTGACGCCCTAGCTTTAGCGCGATTTCGTTCTGGATTCATTTTCATAAGGTTTCATCCCAACCAACTCTATAAAAATCAATGATTTATAAAGACTATTAAGTGTATCTATAAAGTAAAATAGGTGGAAACCTTTACCGGATAAACTATCTGCTCAAATATGCTCAAATATTCTGGACGTTTGATCAAGGTTCACATTCATGAGAGTCATTTGGAGAGCAAGACTAACAGCACCTTAGATGACCATCCGACCTCTGGACTTGGTAGTCTCATCTCGTCGTTCCAAAAGTTGTGAAAAAAAATCAATACCAATTCAAATTCATATGCCAAAATTATCAAATAATGTTTCAATTAGTTTAATTTATATGACCTCCTCAACATTCTGGAAAGGCAATCCAAAGCTGCCCCCTTGAGAGACTGAGTGACCATTTTCTGGCAACTCAACAAACAATACTTCTCCAAGATGGTCCTAAAACAAAGCTTCACCTGCATCACTCAACCCATGATCTATACACCCAAAATCAAACAATCAGATTGAGATACAAAAACTTAATATGTGCTTACACCCCTCCTCTTTGACTTTGAACTCCCCCTACATATTTTTAAAAAATTACAGATTAAAATTAAATAAAAACAATTCAATAAAATTAATCACAAATTTCATTTGAGTAATCTTCAAAATCGAGAGTGTATGCAGGTGAGTTATGGACAATTTACCATGGCTCAGCCAAGTAAGGACCAATTTTAAAAAGTAACATGAAGTCAATGTGTACTGAAAAGAAGAAAATGAAATAAAGATAGTAATATTATCACAAAAACAGCAGCAAGAGACCTTAATTAATTAAGATGGCTTACTTTAGTGAGCAAAGAAAAGCTAACAATTAAGAAAGCATGGATTTATTTGAGGAAAAAAAAACACAAAAGGTCGTACCCAGTGCACAAGGCTCCCGCTTTACGCAGGGTCTGGGAGAGGTGAATGTCGGCTAGCCTTACCCCCATTTATGGAGAGGCTGCTCCCAAGTCTCGAACCCGAGACCTACCGCTCATGGGCGAAGGCACTTGCCATCGCACAGGATGAAATAAATTATTTCTTTCCAAAAGAGTATAAAAATACTACCAAAGATTCAAAAATATCAATTAACACAAACAAACAGCAACAAAAGGCATTAGACATAAGGTAAAGTACCAAATACTTGATCAAAGAAAAAAGAATCATTTACCTCTACGACTCAAACCATGTGAGAGGGAAACTTCCTCTTTCACATGTAAATGGTGGATTGAAGACCAAACATGTTTCTTTCCAAAGAGAAGTGCCTGATGAAGATTAAAAATATATATATAATTCAGGTTGCATCAAAAGAAGTAATAAAGTGGATAAGAATGGCAAAGCATGAAAATTGAACACGATGAATTACTGACATGAGTAAATTTTCGATCTTCAACTCTCCAACTAATTTGACATAGCTCAACAATTAACCGTTTAAAAGAGTTGTGTAAAACATTATTGATTTTCTGAATTCGGTAGACATACACTATCTCTTTGCTTCAGTAGTTGAAAAGAGAAATGGAGAAATCATGAATGTGTATATAAAAAGTTGAACCTTGTGGGAGACGAAGAAATAACTCTACAGCTAGCAAACTATTAGAAATCCTGTTTACAAATTTACTCACGTTATCAACAATGCCAGCCATTGCCTCCTCTCTCCTTTTGCGTTGGGATGTATAAGTTTGTTTTCAATAAAACCCTGTAAGAAAGGGAAAGTAGAGGAAAGTTTAATGATATAAACAATAGAATAGATCGCATAAGTTCCCTAAAATGCACAAAATGTAACTATTAATAATAATAACCAATGTAATCAAACATAAATAAAATGGTATGGTACAATTTTATTCTTTTTCATAGAGCTCTGAGGTTCGACTCTTATGAAATGGCGAGTTTGATACAAATTATTATTGGTGGAATTGCTAGTTTTATTCTCTTTCATGAAAGCCAAAAACCAATACCAACATGATTCAAAGAACCTCAATCTACTATCTTTAACAATTGAAACTATATTGTAGGGTGTTAAATCTTTAATCTTAATTTGAAGACTAAAAATAAAATAATTTAGCTAAATTGATTAGTATTAAGCTTAGCCTCAAATATTCTTCAGCAGATGCAATCCAAAATTAAGACAAATTTGAAAGAATTGAACCTTATTTGGTCTTACTCATCACATGCTGCTTCCCCATTCAATAGGTCGTACCCAGTGCACAAGGCTCCCGCTTTACACAGGGTCTGGGAGAGGTGAATGTCGGCTAGCCTTACCCCCATTTATGGAGAGGCTGCTCCCAAGTCTCGAACCCGAGACCTACCGCTTATGGGCGAAGGCACTTGCCATCGCACCAAGTGCGACCTCTTGCTTCCCCATTCAATACAAAAGTAAAATAAGTGAGAGGTTAGTTGGAAGATTAGTTGGAAGAAAATAATAATTAAAATCTTGTTCACGGGCTATCCTCAATCTTATCCATCTAATATTTTAGTAACACTCTTTTAGTACTTAATTACTGAATTTGCTAGTATAGCCTATTACGTAGTCTGAATTTTAATCAATCTTTACCATCTCATTGATTAGAGTTTGTCTTAAAGTCAATTTACACCGTTCACCTCTCAGACAACACTATAATCAATTATTAACGAAAATTTGCTAAATGACTGAAAAAAATATCCGTCATTAGATTTGATATCAAATTTATAGTCAGTTATCGAGACACTATTATTTACCCTCTATCTATTAGTAGCTAAATATTCTCACCGGAGTGTTATGGTGTTATACAAATACAAATTACAATACATCTCAAGAAACTCAATAGAAACTTACTTTGCAACCAACAATGTCTTCACCGCCATGGTCACTGCCTCCTGCTACCTCTCTTGTTACCACTGCACCTCAATTACCACCGTCATTTCCTCCACTTCTGCCGCCACTGTTGTCGTCAGCAGGCTGTTAAACAAATCAATATTTGCATAAGATGAACCAACATTTGAAAAGTTTAAGCTGATGGACCAACACAGAGAGAAAACTCCTAAATTTACAACAAGATGAAAGCTTAACGAAAAAAAAATTTGGGTAAAAAATACCTAAATTTACAGAGATATGCGAAAATAGGGTGCAAACATAATGTGCCTCTTTTTTAATGTGGGTCAGTGAGGGTAAGAGAGAGTGCCCTTGGTGTTCTCACTCTCAATACGACCTCGCTTGACAGAGATATCACCTTACTACCAGAATGGAAAGAAGCCGGTAAAACAGCATTGGTAATTACATTGGATATATGCAACCTGCTATGGGAGCCATGTGGATCCCTGAACATTTCATGCATATGAAGATACCAAGATTCACGCTAGCCAATCGTGGAGCTCTGCACCAAAAAATGGAAACACTACAACAATTTAGAAAAAAAAATGTTGGACATATCTGTTTGAGGTTACCCACACATGCAGTATGAAAATACATAGGATGTCGTTTAAATTGAAAATAAGTTTATATATAACCCTTTAATTTACCTTTTTCTCCAATAAAGCCCTGATGTCTCTTCCCCTTCTTTGTAGAACGTCCTACACTACAGATCGAGTCCATATTCTTCATGGAAAATCCAACCTCAGTATTAAAAACCAGCAGAGTAGCCGGAGCTCCACTCCCAGTTATGTCCTTCTTTGTCATCACAAATTCCAGTGTTGGTTCAACCCCTTTTCGTATTGTCTTCCGCATTCTGCAAATCAAAAACCCACAATTAAAATCCACTAAAAGAACAAAACCACAATTTGTTTTCAAGTTCCATTGATGCTAGTATCGAAAAATTGAAACTTTTTCACCTTTTTTTAGAGACAACAAAAGACCAAAAATTGTTTTGATTTTTGAATAAAAATCAACGAAGAAACAAACCCAGCAAATAAAAGTACACAAAAAAAAGAAACCCACAAATTATTTCGAGTTTCATTGACGTGGGTAAGGAAAAGATTGAAACTTTTTCACTAATTTTTGGAAAAACACAGCAAAAATTTAAATACATGTATGAGCTTAATGAGAAAATGGTATGTCTTTCTGGTATAGCTCGGCAGATAGGCTGGTGACTGCATGGTGAAGGTCAAGAGTTAAAGAGAAGTCAAAATCAGGGAAGAAGATGAGTTTTACCCGATGACTCGAGTCGGGAAGGAAGACAATGGGAGTCGGCTCTTTGGGTGGCTCCTTGGCTGGCTCTTTAGTTTGGGGCTGTGTGATGGATTCTTCGGCCTTCATCTTTTCCAAGACGGTTTACTAGCACCTTTAACTTTGTCATTTGGGCCTCAACTCATATATGCTCTTTATAGTTTTGTTTTCGGAATTTTGGTGATTTGAAATTAAAGTTAATATCTATTTAGGGTTGGTTTGGGATTGTAATGCTTAAAAAAAAAAAACTAATGAAAAATGCTTGAAAACTTTGAGTTTTAACGATAAAGAAAAAATAAAGGGTAAAGTGAATAGTAATATGATTGACTTTTTAGTGTAAAAATGTGGTTTTTCGTTAAAGTGAACAGTACCTGGAGCTTTTCATTAAAGTTCTCTTAAAAAAAACAACTTATTAAAAAATTTGGAATATTGAATGTGTTGGTAAAACAAAAAAGAAATGTTTTTTTTTAAACTACCGTCAATGAAAGTAGAAAAGCACAAAAAACAAAAGTAGGATCTATCATGCTTCTAAAAAAACGTGTTTTTTTTTTTCAAAGCATAGTAATCAATGCTTATGTAATGAAATTTTCAAATGATAAATATACCCCCAAATGTTTTACAAAATTACAATATTTGCCCTTACATTGTTGTCTTTGACAATTATTATATCACAATAAATATCGTATCATTTTTTAGTCATTTAACATATTTAAATCAATTTATAAAAAAATAAAAATAAAATAAAATAAAAGTTTACCAAACACTTAACAACTTTATTTTACAGCTATTTATTTTCACAGCATAGCAATCAAACTGGCCCTTAGTACTACTATGGTGTATTGGTGTTTCTTCTTTCAGAAAATTGTACTAATAATCCCTCAACTTTAACCTAATTGGAGCGCAATGGTCTCTCAAGTAAAAATTCATGACCATGGTCCTTTACTCATTAAAACGTGCATCTATGGTTCTTTTCGTCAACTATGTTAAAACTTCCATGAAAATCAGTTATGCGCCACCCACGTGAGACTGTATCAAGAAGCAAATATGAAAAACTAAACGAGAAAATTGTAGAAATTGTCCCTCAACTTTAACCTAATTGGAGAAATTGTCCTGCAACTTTAACCCAATTGGAGCAATAGTCTCTCAATTTTAACCCAACTGTAGCAATAATTCTTCTAACATGAGTCATTTTGACGAAAGCTTTGACGGAGTTGACGAAAACAATCCAGTGGTTATGGATTTTTTGTTGAGGGAGCACTAGTCCAATTGGGTTAAAGTTGAAAGATCATTACTACAATTTCCTCTTCTTCACTTGTAACTTAGAGAATTGTCTGAGGGGTTAAAGGAGATGGTATCATTGTACTTGAAGCAAGCTAGATGTCAACCGATGCTGTTTAACAGATGATGAAATCCATAAAGATCTAGGGTATCTCTTTGGAAATTTTGGATGTTGGAAGCAATCATTTTCATAGCCTACCAAGTCTCAATGATCTTTCAACGCTTGTAACGTCGTTTCTCCCCCTCAGATTTTAAGATTAAGAAGTTTCTCGACATATTCAATAGTAAAAGCTTTCAATGGTGACATCTCTAAGTTTCCCGCCAAGATGTGAAAGGTATAATTTCATAAAGCATTAGCAGGACGATGAGATTGGAAAACCCTCAATCTGTATATAACTCAAAGCCAAACCAGAAAAACATGGGAAGGAGGGCAGTTTGACCATTACATTTGCAATTGTGTTCTCCACAAAGACATCTCAAAGATCCGGTAAGAATGAATAGAGATGGGTTACAAGCGGTGCCAATATGAGTGCACAAACTCCGGTGACTAAATTCTTAATCTAAAGGTATCAATAGTGTCACGCCTAGTTTGTCACAATGAGGAAGTAGAAATGGTGCCACTTTATATTTGTAGTTAAACCACATACATAACTTAAACAATTTTAAAAAAAAGATTAGAACAATGTTTGATGTTATGGGAAGTGATTTATATGTTACAACAAAAAAGCAAAATTGCAACGACCAATTTTTATTTATTTTAATGTAGTAAATATCGATTTTTTTTATAAAAAAAAAAAAAAAAAGACCAGCTGGTAGGTTCGTCACTTGCTACTACAGTCCTCTCTTCTGGAGACCGGAAAGACTCACAGAAGTATTTCAGCCTTCCCATGACCAACATAATGCGATTCACCAGCGCTAGGAGCCGAACCCATGACGTGTCGTGTGAAATACGAGTCTAAAATTCATCTTCAACCACTCACCTTGTTGACACGCTCAACACTGATATCCTCCAAACACTAGGGTAGGCACGCGCTGGTCGACACCCGAAGTTGACGAAGCCATACTAACATGCATGAGAAGTAACAAACATAATTAAAACTTATAAATTTAAATACAATGATTATGCAATTGTGGAACGTGTTCAAAGCATACAACTAATTTGAGACATTAAAAAGGAATAATATAAAATTGAACGACCAAAGAGATGAGTCCTACACTGAGAGGACCCGAAGATGTCGACGCAGGAGTGTTTTGACGCCATGATTGTACGGCTCGATTCTAAGTCCTGAGGGGGCGCAAAACAAAACATGAGCAAACCAAGTTAATATATAAGTAATACTAAAACAGTTATTTATCAACGTACTAACCCTCAAAGTTTATGAAAACTCAATAGTATAATATGTAATAGGTTTTCCAAAAACCCTAGCATGCCATAAAACATTCGTGAAACATATATTATATATAGTATACAAAGTAGTGGTATCAGTATCGCACGAAGGCATATAGAACACTTCATTTAGAACACTTCATTCGCCCGCAGTCTCCTACAACACCTAACCAAAGCCATATATAAATATCAATCGCCCGTAGGCTCCTACAACACCCACCCGAAGCCATAGAAGTATCAATCACTCGTAGGCTCCTACAGCACCCACCCGAAGGCATATATAAAAGTATCATTCGCCCATAGGCTCAGAGCTTAGTAACTAAAACGTCATATAGGAAAACCACATTTGTAAGTAGGTATATAGCAAGGTTCTAAAAAACACTAGGCGCAAGTCGGGCAGCGGGCTAGCGCCTAGCGCCTAGGCAGATTTAGGTAAATTTCTTGTATATCTTGTAAATAAGTGCATATTGTCACTTACAAAATATTATGTTTGTATAAAAGCCATGAATAAGATTATAAAAGAATAATAAAATGCAAAAAGAGTATCCAACAAGTCCAAAATTTAAAAACGCATTAAGCATGTATGCCATATAACCATAGTGAGGAGTATTGTAATGTAGGATGACACGTGTACAATAAGTTCACAATTTAAAACAACATAAAATGCAAAATAGGAGGAAAATAAGGAAATATAGTAATGTAAGATACTTAATCTTATTTTTTATTTTTTATTTTTTAAATTTCAAAAAAAAAAACGCCCAGCCGGCTAGCACCGCCTAGAGCCACCCCGATTTTTCCAACTATTTTGCACGAAATCGCCTCGATTCCAACCCGCCCAGCGCCTAGGCCATTTTTTAGAACATTGGTATATAGTCATCAATCATATATACCACAAAGAATGTAAAGTCGATAAAGCATAATATATTATAAAGTGTAAATCCAATTTACTCATAAACGTTTCATAAAACGTAGCCATTAAATCATGCTTTTCATGTATGCATTTCTACTAGTAAAATATACATTTTGGAAAGGGTCCACTCACCTTACACCGTTGGCGAAGAGCTATGCAAACAAGGGTGGATAGAAACGTCACTAACAAATGCACCTAAGCATAAAGGGTCCAATTAATAAAACTCTACCATGACGATTGAATTTCAGAAAACAGACGTCATAAACGGATTCAAGACGTCGAAAATTATACATAGAGACCTCAGGTACCCCCACGCACTGCCACACGTTGATTTGGGTTACCTGAAAAGTCGTTAGTGCTGCCGTGGACGATGGTAGAGCACAGTACCTCCAGTGGAGGCGCGTGTGCTCCACGCGCCGACCAAAACTGGTGGCCACGATGACCCACAAGCTGCCTTGGAACTTGGGTTTGGGCTAGTTCAGTTCTAGGTTTTGAGCTTGGGTTATTTAGGTATGGACCTAGAGTTTGGGCCGAGTTCAATGTCACAAAAGCTTAGTTTGAGCTTTGGGCTAATGGCTTTAGGTTAATAGCTTTAGGCTTTGGATCTGGTGTTGTTTTCGGGTTAAGTCAACCCGATCCCTGTCATGGGTCTGGTTGACCCGGTCCCTGTCGCGGGTCTAGTCGTCGATTTATGGGCTGGTTCAGCCGGAATACATTCCTGAGCTCCGATCGAGCTTGATCTTCCACCATTTTACTCTTAAATTATACCAAAATGAAGATGAAAAGATGAAGGAGTCAAGCCTACCTCACCCAAATAGCATAGGTGGCTGGAAAGGGCTGAGAACTGCCTGCAAGGATCACGGCCGTCGCTGGAAAGCTGAGGGAGCTCTGGGTTCATGATGGAGAGATCTCGAGGGTAGTGAGGTCGCTAGAGTGAGAGCCACGGTGGTGGTGACCCAGTCATTAGTAGGGTGCCTAGGTGTGTGGTGCTTGGGGGAAGAAATGGTGCATCGAGGGAGAGATGGAGATAGTGAAAAGAGAAGAGAGAGTGTCGGTGACCAAAAAATTAGGGTGGGCCCCATTGGTACACTAAACAAGACCAATCAAAAACCACAATTTAAAATAAAATATCCCACCTATAGTGAAATTATGAATTTGCCCTTCCGTTACGTAATATCTGGGACAAGTCGTTACACTATGATGGTTAGTAAAGATCAATTCAATGCTATTAGAGTGTACTATTTTTTAGACCTGGCAGTTTTTGATACGACACAGTAACACGACACGAAAATAACACGAAAATAACGGGTTTCGGGTCAACACGATAACTTATCGGGTCACTATCGAGTGACCCGTTAATAACGGGTTCTTAACAGGTATACACGCGGGTAACACATGGGTAACCCATTTCGATCCGTTAAGAAAAAAATTATTTTAATAATTTTAAAGTTTAATTACTAAAAGATTTATTATAAAATACAATAGTCATATTAATATATACAATATATTCTATATTAAATATATAGTTTTGTATTATTGTTCTATATAAATTATAAAAAAATAAAAAAAAGTTTTAGTCATTATTTATTTTTATTATGAGAGTTCCTTATTATCATTACTAGGATAAATTTTACATAACATATTCTTGTCCAAAATTAAAATATACTAGTATAGTATTTGTATATGCAAGAACTAAGAAAACATACATACAAGTACGAAAAATGTGAAAGAATATATAGACACTCGTGATTTATCATTATTCATCCACGAATAGATAATTGTTACACTTATATTATCGTTTAGATTTTTAAAATCCTTCAAACCCTCATGACTAATGTTTTTTATCTGAGAGCAAAATTAATAAAATTAATAATAATTATTGTAGAAGTGTAAAAAATGTAAATATATATATATATACAATCACTCATACAACAACAACAACAACAACAACAACAAAGCCTTTTCCCACTAAGTGGGGTCGGCTATATGAATCCTAGAACACCATTGCGCTCGGTTTTGTGTCATGTCCTCCGTTAGATCCAAGTACTCTAAGTCTTTTCATAGGATCTCTTCCAAAGTTTTCCTAGGTCTTCCTCTACCCCTTCGGCCCCGAACCTCTGTCCCGTAGTCACATCTTCGAACCGGAGCGTCAGTAGGCCTTCTTTGCGCATGTCCAAACCACCGTAACCGATTTTCTCTCATCTTTCCTTCAACTTCGGCTACTCCTACTTTACCTCGGATATCCTCATTCCCAATCTTATCATTTCTCGTGTGCCCACACATCCCACGAAGCATCCTTATCTCCGCTACACCCATTTTGTGTACGTGTTGATGCTTCACCGCCCAACATTCTATGCCATACAACATCGCTGGCCTTATTGCCGTCCTATAAATTTTCCCTTGAGCTTCAGTGACCTATGACGGTCACACAACACGCCGGATGCACTCTTACACTTCATCCATCCATCTTGTATTCTATGGTTGAGATCTCCATCTAATTCTTCGTTCTCTTGCAAGATAGATCCTAGGTAGCGAAAATGGTCGCTTTTTGTGATCTTCGCTAGATAGTTCCGGTCATTAGTGTGGATAAGTATATAAATGGATAGAGATAGGAAAGCAAACACCAGATGTACGTGGTTAACCCATATTGGCTACGTCCACGGAATATAGGAGTTCTCATTAATTGTGAAGGGTTTACACAAGTACATAGGTTCAAGCTCTCCTTTAGTGAGTACAAGTGAATGATTTAGTACAAATGACATTAGGAAATATTGTGGGAGAATGATCTCATAATCACGAAACTTCTAAGTACCGGCGTGTGGTATCGTCTTGACTTGCCTTATCTGTCTCGTAGGTAGATGTGGCATCTTCTCTGGAAGTACTCTTCCTCCATCCAGGGGTGGTATCTTTAACTAGTGGAGATGCACAAGGTAATGTATCAATTTCACTTGAAGCTTACTTGTAGTTTCAGGCTTGGTCAAGCGCGATACAAACCATGTAGTAGGAGTCCCCCAAGTCGCCGAGCTAGGGGATCTGCTGAAAGAGGTGACAGACAAGGTAAGCAATCAGAGCTCCAAGCAATCAGTCCCAGATCAGAACTTTGATTTCGAGTTCCGGCTGATTGTTCACATTCTCCTATCTTGCAGGCAGCATGAAGGATAAAGAGAAGAAAAATGAGAAGAGATGATATGGGATACTTTTGCTTTTGAAGAAGTAACTTTCCACATGCTTATTCTTGAACTGGGCTTGAGGGTTTTCTGGTTTCCTCCAGAGTATAAGGCCGACTAAAGAATTTGAGGGTCAAAATAAGTCCATCAAATCTATAGTACGTTCGACCCTGCTGATATGAGATACTTTTTCTTTTGACAGAGTAGTGGATGTATCGGCACGTGTGCTGTTACGCTTGTCTCCACATGCTTCCTTGTATCCTTCTCACTTGCCTTATCTGTTCCTCAGGAAGATGCGGTATCTTCCCTGAAAGCATAAGATGTTGAAGATGAGTACTCGAGAGCAATGCCAGGTAAGTAATCAAGTAAGGGGTTCCAGGCAGTCAGCTCCTGACTGGAAGCTTGATTCCAAGTGCTGACTGATTGCTCTATTTCTCCTTGTCTTGCAGGTAAGAACAAGGCCAAAGGAAAATACAGGGAAAAGCATGATATGGGATACTCTTGCTTTTAACCCTGATGATATGAGATATTCTTGCTCTAGTATAGCTTGTTTGCAGAGGTATTATCAGGGGGAAAGAAAGCTGAATATTTCGAAAAGCTTCTTTGGGAGTGCCCTCTCAGATATGAGGAAGGGTTGAGCATTTTTGGAGGTCTGCCTGTCCGTTGAGGATGGAGGTCGACATATATAGGAGTCTCCCTAACAACAAGTAGTAATGTTATTCCTTTACCCTGCTTGGTCATAGCACGGTAGTGGGAACTGCCAGCTTCACATGTTTTAACTCTGTCAGAGCACTTTGAAAAAGTGATATGTGGTATCTGGAAAGCTGATGTTGCGTGTGAAGATTACAGACAAGCTTTATCCAAGGAGATCCGACTCTTGAAGTTGGGAAAGTGGTGCCTCTTCGGTTTTCGAACAAGCAATCCTGTCGGAGATCTGGCTCTCGAGATTCGGAGAACGATGCCTTTTCAATTTTTGAGAAAGCAATCCTACTAGGGGTCTGGCTCTCGAGATTCGAAGAGCGGTGTCTTTTCGATTTTTGAGAAAGTAATCATGTTGGGATTCTGGCTCTCGAGATTCGGAGGGCAGTGCCTCTTCGATTTTGGAGCAAGCAATCTTGTTGGGAGTGTTTTCTCGAATGTGAGAAAAGGTTGGGCATGTTTGCTACTCTACCTTGCCACGAAGCACAGAGGTTGACATACAGGGACTTTCCAATTATCCAGCAGTGGTACTGTTCCTTTACCCTTGTGGGTAATAATATGGTAACTAGACCTTCAAAATTCATGTGTCTAAACTTTGTTAGTGCTGTTTCTTTGCTATTCTTTTACCCTTCTTAGTCAAAGCGATGTAGTGGGAGCTGCAAGCTTCACGTGTCTCAACTTTGTCAGAGAACTTTGGCAAAGTTATCTGTGGTACCCATGAGCTAATGTTGCGTGTGGGAAGTGGGTGATTGAACAGTAAGATTCATGTGCTTTCTACTTCACCAGAAATCTTCGACATAATGCCCATAATTTCCGCAAAGCTGAGTGTGCGTGTGACATGTGCTGACAAGGCTGGAAAAGTAGGTGCCTTTTCGATTTCTGAGATCGGCCCTCGTGGTCTCTGAGCAGCCCAGCTTTTGAGAAAGCAAGCGCCTCTTCGATTTCTGAGATCGGCCTTCGTGGTCTTTGAGCAACCCAACTTTTGAGAAAACAAACGTCTCGTGGTCTCTGAGCAGCCCAGCTTTTGAGAAAGCAAACGCCTCTTCGATTTCTGAAGCTCCGTCGAGTGCAGATTTTTATAGAGGCTGACATTAAGTTCCAAAGCACACTTGAATCTCCACCAGTAGAAGCTCCATTCTTGCACTTCTAAGATCTTGATTTGTCCGACCTCTTCTCTCTTCAACACCTTTGAAAATGTCTGGCCCCTCCGACCGTCGTTTTGACTTGAACCTTGTTGAAGAGGCAGCCACGCCTTCTCCAGACAACATATGGCGCCCATCCTTCGTCTCCCCTACTGGTCCTCTTACCGTTGGGGATTCCGTGATGAAGAATGATATGACCGCTGCGGTAGTGGCCAGGAACCTTCTCACTCCCAAAGATAACAGACTACTTTCCAAACGGTCTGATGAGTTGGCTGTTAAGGATTCTCTGGCTCTCAGTGTTCAGTGTGCAGGTTCTGTGTCTAACATGGCCCAACGCCTATTTGCTCGAACCCGCCAAGTTGAATCATTGGCGGCTGAAGTGATGAGTCTCAAACAGGAGATTAGAGGGATCAAGCATGAGAATAAACAGTTGCACCGACTCGCACATGACTATGCTACAAACATGAAGAGGAAGCTTGACCAGATGAAAGAATCTGATGGTTAGGTTTTACTTGATCTTCAGAGATTTGTGGGTTTGTTCCAAAGGCATTTATTACCTTCGTCTTCTGGTGCTGTACCGCGTAATGAAACTCCAAATGATCAACCTCTGTTGCCTCCTCCTTCTAGGGTTCTGTCCAGTACTGAGGCTCCAAATGATCCCCCTCCAGTGCCTGCTCTTTCTGGGGCTCTACCGACTGCTGAGACTTCTCCTAAGCAAGGAAGAAAATATCGGTAATATCGGAAATATCGGTAGTCCGAAAACACGGAAATATCGATGGAAATATCGGGATAATATCGATATCGATAAAAATTACATGGAAACCACGGAAATTGTAAGAAAAACTTGGAAATTTTTATTGAAACTTTGCAGGATGTTTATTTAGTCAATTATCTATTAGTTTATCACAAAAAATTGGAAGGAAATGCATTGCATGATGGATTTAACTGATTTAAGTTGATTATATAGCGAGCTGGCAAACATTGTGAGTGTAGAAAAAATGTAGTAAATAATGAAAGAAGTTTAAACACACCATAA